TCCCTAGTAATTTGATCATCACATGAAAAAAATTATAGACTGATGCCACTATCACATGCAAAAAGCTTTTTTTAAAGGATCTAAATGTAAACTAGTTGCTTATATTCGAAGTATTAGTGGGTTTCCTTTCAGACCTAACAGCAACAGCATATATACATGATATTTGCTTTATTATAAAAGAAAGCCAGAGCTGAAGCAGAGAGGAGTATTTCAGTTTAAGTCTTTACACAAGCCTTCAAATACCCTACTCAGGCTCGCTATGCTGTCGTAATCCCAAACTGAAATTAAATCTGATTAAATCAATGCACTTCTGGCAATGAAAATGTGCGCAAAATCTTACTCCATTTTTCATTTCTTAAATAGAAGAATAATTTTAAAATGTCATTCTTATAAGGTACCAATTCTTCAGCTGAGAAGATTAGATTTACTGCACTTCCATTCTCTGAAAAAACAAATATTAAAAAAAAAACCAACCCCAAAACAGAATCGCTATCCCAAAAAAATGAATGAACTGAGTTAGTCTGGTGTATTCTACCTTTGGAAAGGGCTTAAGCGTTTTTACCCATCTGTCAATCTGTTTCATCTCTTGAATTACTATTATTTCCTTCAAAATTTGTTTTAAATGCTGATGCTTTATCAGCAAATGGACAAAGGCTACTCTCTATGAATTATGTGCTTTATTTGCAATTCTCCTGTTTTATGGTATAACCCCAAATTTGACTGATTTATTAACAATCCTTGTAATTGGGATTGCAATTGGCCACACTATTTCTTTCAAAAATGTCTGGTATAAAAATCAGGCCATTTCCTACTTCCTGACTACTTTCTGAGAGGACTATCTCTGCTTTAAGTTTCGTCCCATCAATGGTGGTGGGAATTTCCACTTCCATGCCCTCATTTTCCCCCTACCCTATTTAGGTATGCTGATTTCTTTACTAGAAGGAGACAACAAAGTAGAAATTCAAGCTCTTGAAAAGGTTTTAGATTATAAAACAATAAAATGCATGATTTTTTTCACTGGGGAAAGGCCATTTTGACCGACATCAGTTTGATCAAGCCTGTCACGGTCTCACTAACATTTCCATCACTTCTGCTGTGTACAATGACTCGGTAACAGAAACTTCAAGTTTTGACGGTGATGCTTACCATGAAGATAATGCCAACAAAATTGGTTAAGTAGGCTGGAAAACGATCCTTCCACGTCAGCTTTTCTTTATCTGTCTAAAATTTGGAAAGAAAAAAGGGTAGATTTAATAAAGATGTAGCATGTGATTTTGCACGTGACAAAAACAGAGAGGGGAAAAAAAAGGGTAGCAAATACATAACCAGTTAGAAGATGCAAGGACACAGTGTTTTCAGCTACAATTCCACACAGGCAAATTGTTTGCTCCGTATCTAGGTTCAAATTGGTCAAGCGCCTGCACTGAGAGTATAAATAAACCAGATTTTTCTGTATACTTTTTGAAGGAAACATGCAAATAGGCTGTCAGAAACCATGAAGTAAGATCTCTCTCACTGTTAAATATTTTCTTTTGCTTTCCCTAGAAAAATTTGCCTTCTTCCCCTCTGCCTCCTCAGTTAATATTCACAGCTTTGCAGTTGCACAACTGGGTTCCACTCAAATACAGATGAAGTATGCTGCTGAGTAACTCCAAGATGAAGGCGCAGTTGACAGGGAAGATCTTGTTTTGGTGTGTGATAAGACTTGAAATTCCTTCAACATGAGTGATTTTTAACTACCTGACTATCCATGTGGTATTCAGTGGACCACGCCAATAGGAGTTCAGATGCGCATGTATAATTACTCTTTATAGGATAGCCTAAATCCAGTCAACCGGCCACTGCCTGAAGCTGGCTACGAAAATTTCATTTAGAACAGTATCACTCATCTCAAGGCTTTCATAAACTTTGATGCCGGGAATTGTCTCTAAACACCAGAAAATAAACACCAAAAGGAACATTACAGAAGATGACGCACACGTTACAAATGAAGATAAAAATATTACTCAAATTCTATTTTTATTACATGCACGTTGTCTCAGGGAAGTGCAAGCAACTCTTTCAACACATGGCCCATGCTCCACTGCAAAACGTAACGTCAGTCCAGGACGGTAAAGCTAAGATTAGCCATGCAGTGCCATTCCCCGTGCATAGGAACAGTGTCCCAAAGGGTGCTGAGGAAACAAGGGGAGGAGGGGGAAGAAACCCAGAACTGAACGTGAATATTAAACAAAGGTTCAACAGCCAAAAACAAATTGATTTGTGTCTTCCATAATTACTCATAATTTGAGTTTCTTCATAAGTTTGAATAAAAAGAACCAATTTCACCCCAGCCATGACTGTCTTAACTCTTTGTCTCCATTTGTTTGCTGTCTCTTCGCGAAAATACCGATGCTTCTGATGGCAGTCAAAGGAAACAAAAAAAGGATCGGGCAATATAGCATTACAAAGCACTGCTAAATTCATCTTTATACTCTCTACGGACTCAGTGTACATAGCAGTTTAGCCACAAGTGAATGCTCTATTAGTTTGCTTCAGGCTTTGTGTTTCAGCTTTAGGTTAATAAAGCACAACAACAACAAAAGACAAACTCTTGCCCCAAATCCTGGGGTAGATCAAGCAATCCTGCAAAGGATATTCCCTTTCTGATTTAGGATTGCGCCCTTCTTTTTCCTTTATGATGTATAAAGAATGTCCAAGAAGTTTTTCCTTTAAAATAATATTTTTTTTAATTGGACTTCTCTTGAAATAATATGAGCAATTTCTGGTTTAGCTTTAGATATTTTTTCTTTAAGAAGATTTCCAAGTTGTCTTACAACTGTTGAATTTGAACTTTAACTCTCTAGATCCCCATGAAAGATAATTACTGAGTCTTTCAGAAAAAACTCCTTTTCTCACGTTTCCCGAATTAGTAACATCCAAATTGAACACAGCCCAAAAAGTTATAAATAGTTTGGTAAAAAAAAAAGTCCTCTCTTAATTGCTGAGCTTTCATATGCTGACATCTGGAGGCCACCATTCATTAATTGTCCGATGACCCTACTCTTCCACATTTAAGATCCGAGTTCTCAATATAACCAAAAGTACAGCGAGTCGCAGGTTTTTAGCGGAATGCAACAAAGTCTGTATTGCGACATTGTTTGTCCAGCCGAGAAAAGGGCAGCAACCCAAGCTCTTTTTCTTCTGCAAGGGATTTTAAAGCAGTGTGGCGAGGAAGGCGTGGCACGTGATGCTCAACCACTCACACACTGCATCCTATAGATTAACGGGAACACACCGCCATCAGCTTTTAAGAGGAGCCCAATGGTACTCGGATATAACGACATGACAAAATCGGATACGTTCAGTTTAACGTCAGTCCAGTCTACGTATGCTGTCTCTTAAAGCATATTTAATGTTAATGTGGTTATTGCAGTCATATTTTCATCAGGTTTTCATAAAATTCCAATTTAGGACATGCGTCCACGCTACTGTGCCACTACAAAAGAGGAATTTCTGCTGACAAATTTTGTTTATGCCAGAGCTTTTACTTCTCTGCTTAAAAACGCAGTCGTACAAACAGCTGAATTCTTGCAGTTAAGGGGGAATAACCTCTGGTAGGGTGGAAACCAGTAAGTGAGGGAGAAAAGGAACTTTTTCAAATCGGTGTGCTGCTGACAGACAGTAACAGGGAAGGAATTACGGCCTTCAGCGGAAGGGCAGCGAAGCTGCTCATAGCGACTGCGCCGTCTGTTGGTGAGATGCACGTGCTCCCAGGCTGACTGCCAGCACCTTTTTCACAGCGATGTAAGGAGCAAGTTAAAAGCAGAAGTGAGCGCTACCTTATTCAGTGGAATAAAATGGAAGTTACGTTTTTAAAAGATGGAAAGTTATTATCAAAGCTGGAATTTGTCAAGGAGATTGGTGTTAGTACTCTTCATTAATGCTCTAGTAATATTTTTCTTTAAAAAAAAAAAATCTAGCAAGACAGCGAACCTCTCCTGAGAGGCTCTAGGTACTTACACTAGCACAGAATAAGATGATTTGTTACAGTTTCCTCAAACTTGATTTGTTAGCCTAACAGGAGCACCCCTTCAATTGGGCTCAATTAGCTTCCCTAAGGCACACTCCTGTATCTAATTATTAAAGACATTTCTAGACTGAATCAGGTCTCGTGCGCTGGCATACACCGAGTATCCCACATATGCTAAGACCGAAGACATCTGGAATTTAAACACAATGTGCAGTGACTCTATTTTTTACCTATTTCTTAATCTTGGGTCGGTGCCTGCTACAATGACCTTCTTTTTCAAATTCTTTTATAAGTGAAACAAATGGATATTTTTTACCATACCTCTTTATGTTTGTGTTCTTTTCTCAGTGATTTTTCTAAAACTTTAGCTTCATATTCTGCTCTTGGATGATCCTGTGAAATAAGTCATATTTAATAAAAAGCAAAATTATTTACTTTCTATACCAGCTACATATGAACCATTTTCAGGTCGATTTCCTGATAATTTCCACATTTTCTAACTGAATCTTAATTTGCTCATATTTCATTCACGTCAATTGACAGTTGGCTGTAATTCAAGAAAACGTTAAATCCCGTATCATTTGCAGTTCTACAGCAGCAACTGCAGAATGATCTGGACTCACTATCAGACACCCACGTGCAACGCTATGTAGATTACATTTAACACTTGCGAGCATACAGCACAACCTGCAGACAGCGTGGTTCATACCGTGTGACATTATGCTTTGATTTTAATTACCTATCTTTCTGATAAACATTAGGTTTTGCATGTCATTAACTGTCGTTTCAGTGATCCTCAGCTCACGAGGGAAATGGCTATCTGCGGTCAGTATGCAAAATACTTGGCTTTGGGATCCCAGAAAATTGTCGCTTGGGGTCTTCCCCTAACTCTGTCTTGGAGAGCAACCCCTGATTACCCATCTGCGTTGAAGGAGTGGGTGTAGGAAACACTCCAACGTAAAAGACAGCCGAAAGATTCAGAAAGACTGACAGATTCAGAATTCATAATAATTACGCATTCACAGAAGGTTCAGAATTCACAATTATGCATCGGATGGGAAACAGAACGGAGCTGAAAAAAGTCTGAACAAGTGGAGAGGGGGAGGGTGTAAAGGCAAAGCAATCAGTGGGAGATCTAAAGAAAATCTGATGCTTGAAAAAGAAGAGGTGGAGATCAAAAGATGGCATTCATCAGTAGACATGTAATAAAAAAGGTAGGAGCAATTAAAAAAAATGTTTTCCAAACCTTGACTGCCTCCTTCAGGAAACCAGAAAAAAACACGAAAAACAAGAAGAAAAAAAAACAAAAAAAACAAAAATATGATTACTGAACTGTTGCAGATCATACTGGATTTATATTTTAGAAATTGCATGAAACAAACATAGGTACAGTGGAGGGCTAGACACTACCAGAGAAAGCCAGTCTACTCATTTCTACAACATTTATCAACATTACTAGAAGTACTGTACGAACTAGGTGCCCCTAAAACCACCAGAAGACGAGACGTTTTGGGTTTTAGTGTATCACTTGAAACCCTGCCTCTTCAACATGACACTAGCTTAATTTTCACCCAAGTCAGAAACAGGAGGGGCTTAAATTCTTTGCTAAACTTGTGACTGTATTATCTAGAGTTGACTATACAAAACAAAGAATAAACTATATTGTCTAGCAACTGCTGTTCTAGCTGTGTAGAGCTCTGAACTCAGACATGAAGGGGATCGACATCGGAAAGATACAGTTAATCCTTTCTACTCTCCTGTATGCTAACAACAAGTTACCAAAATAAAAGAGCAGTATAGTATCCAGAAAATAAACCCCTATATTCTCTCCCAGTAAAGTAGGTCTGATCTAGCAAAGCACATGGCACAGAGGCTGCTGGCATAGTGTGCTTATATATATAATGGAGGAGATGAATGTATTAAGAGGACATAATTCCTATTAATATTAATATTTAAATAAAGCAGAAAGATTTTGGGAGTGAGGGGAACAATAACTGTGCCAGGTTCATCAAGCTGCACAGTGTTAAACCCAGGGCCAGTGAGTTTTTTATTTCACGTGAGCAATATTTGTTGTGTATCTGTTTAGAACATCTAGTGATATGACAAGGGCGGTCATACTTCTTTTAATAATAACAGAGGAAAAAAAAAAAAAACAGGAAAAAAAAAAAAAAACCCACCCAGCCAGCAAACAAAGCTGCAAAAGCCTGTACAACCCGTGGGTCCCGGCTCCGATCTCGCAGCGGGGTTTTCGCAGCACGGCTCATCATGTATGACGGGAAAACGGAAGGGACCGCCGCGCCTTCACCAGCTCTGAACCGCGGTACAGTCCAGGGCAAGGCTCTGGCGCTGGGGCTGCACTACGATCCAGGAAGGCTTTTTTCCTTTGTTGTAGAGCGACAAAATTAAAGCCAAAAAGGCGGGGAACAGCTTCTCAGCTGGCTGAGGATTCTCCCTCCATTCCTTCTAAAACTTCATTGACTTTTAAGACCTTTGTTCATATAGATCCGGCCCTTTTACCCTCCATGCTATCTAGCACATTTAGTATAAACCTGGCTAGGGATACTTTTATTTTTTTTTTTTTAGCAAATAAAAAAAAAAAAAAAAATACACCTCCACATCCGTGTCCCTCCCAATGCCCCAAGCCCACATGTCTGGCAATATTTTCTTAGGTATTTTCCAAGTCAGGGCTTGATCCTGCCTCGTTAAAACTTAATAGGAATTTTTATAGTGCTTTTTTACAGTCCTGTAACTTTATCAGCTTCAATACATTCATTTCTGATTTACAGCAGCGGGAGATGAATGAGGTCCTCGGTTGTTAGCACCCTGACATCAGCCCAGGAGTAAGGCCTGAGCTGTATATTCCATGCCTATGCTGCTAGGTGTGACCCAACTACACACTTTAAAAAAAATTAGATTTTGTTGCTATACAATTACATTTCTATGGCAACAAGATGTACTAGTCATACCCCTGCTATAAAAACCTCAAATAGTTCATGTGCAGAGATTTTCCTTTCTTCTAAAGGATGGAACCGCCCCAAGAGCAGTTCCGCATGAGGCAACGTCTACGGGCTCGGGGCAAGGAGCTATCAGGAACGCCACAGTGGATTCAGAGAGCCAGAACTGAAGGGACAAACCTCCTCCTCTTCAAACCCAGTCAGGTCCCACCTGTAGTTGAGACGCATCTGTTTTCTCTTCCAGTGTTCCATGAAGGTGGCAGCTGAAACAAAAGTTTAACAATTATTTCAAAATTTTACAAAAAAAAAAAGGCATCAGGCTCTGGGATTTGTCTTAGGAGGCACACTGGCCATGCTCCGCTCCGTCTGCTGTACGTCTGCAGGCTCTTGCCTCCAAAAGGTCTCAGTAGGTGTAATATCGTAGCATATACTGGGCCAGGTTAACTTCATTTTTGTTACTCTCTTATTCAACAGTAATGTCTGTCTGGGAAATAGTGATGTGGTAGGAGCCAAACTTTTTATCTAGGTAAGCTGAAAGAAAGGGCATTTGTCACATCCACAGCTTCATGTTGAAAGATGCCTACAGGTTTTTTTAAAGGGTCTAAGTAAGTCAGACACCCAAACTTATTTAAATATTTGTATGTGTCACTAATGATACTGTTGGTCTTCATCTGCATATAATTCCAACCATAAGTCCAAACAAACCTGTGTTTTATCTATACAAAATATGAATGATTTAACTCGCCTTGCACTGATGGTATAGTTATTCCCTCAAAGATATCAAGATAAAGCATTTCTATATTGTTATAATTACATCTGTCTAGTGGTCACAATAGTATGATTGGCTCCAGTCATCACACCCAAACCCAAATACTCATGGCCAGGGTGAAAGCTTCAGGTGGGCAGGCTGTTAAAGAGGAAGCCTTTAATGGTTTTTATCATTAGAAACATTGCCATTTTCTTTTTGATGGAGAAGACTTACGGAAAAGAAACCTCGTTAAAGCAATTCTTGAGTCCCAATGAACAATCCCCATCTATATCAGTCTATCTGCCTCTGAGACCGAGCAAGTTCTCAGAGGACAGATTTAGACGCTGGGAATACACCAGCACTGTATAATAAATAAGTGATTATGAAAGAGGCAAGTCTACCAAGAAATGGTGTTCCCAGGGGAGCTTCCCGCAGTGAGTATTAACAGATGTGCTCAGAAACATTCATATCCAGAAAAACCCGAGGCAGGGGAGAGAGGGTAAGAAAGTTGAATAGTCAGGAAAGAACCCACTCATGACTGGAACCAGGCTAGGGTCATAACATTCATTCACCTTCCAAGTGAAAGAGTCATGTGCAAAACTCACAAGTGAGCCCCTTTACAAACCCTAGGCTTGCTGTAAATCAGGACAGCCACAGCTGTACCTTAAGCAGGGCTGTGTCACGGCCCTGGAATTGTCTCCCCTACCCCCACTGCTGGCAGTTCTTGCACCGGGGTCTGCAGCTTCCACGTACAGCAAGAAATATGGAAAATGAATGAGACGTCGTTTCTCAGTGCTACTGGAAATCCTTCCATGGCACTGACTTACAACGATGCAAAATGAAAAGACTGCGTCTGAAACACAGCCAGCTCATTTCAAAAGCCCTCAGGGAACGTGCCAGGTCATGACGCACCACCTCTTTGCCAAGCATACCTGCATTTCCATATTTCATCTGCGCCCATGAGCATAAGCGGAGCTTAAAAATTCCAAAAGGTTACTGTGCAGATGATCTTGTCTGGATTCTCTGACATTTTTAATGCCATTTGTTACCAAACAGCACTGGGCCATGGTCCATGTTTAATGCTGAACTTCTGACCGGGACTCAGTTTGGTGCTGTAGCTGTTTCAATTCTTGTGTGAGTGGAGTTATAGAATCATAGAATGCTTTGGGTTGGAAGGGACCTTAAAGACCACCTAGTTCCGACTCCACTGCCACCGGCAGGGATACCTTCCACCAGACTGGGTTGCTCAAAGCCCTGTCCAACCTGGCCTTGGACACTGGCAGGGAGGGGGCAGGCACAGCTTCCCTCGGCACCACCTCAGAGTAAAGAATTTCTTCCTTACATCTAATCCTCTTTCAGTTTAAAGCCATTACCCCTTGCCCTGTCACTACCTGCCCTTGTAAAAAGTCCCTCTCCAGCTTTCACGTTTTCCAAGGTGTTACCACACCATACCACACAGAGAAAGCCTGGCCAAATGGTTGCTCACAATAATACCCCCAAACTTGGGCTAATTTTCTTGCTGTACTAAGGATGCCCTGGGTCACCTGAGCAGGTTTCTTGGGTCTGCCTCAACTCTTGAAGTGTACGTGTACCTACTAAAACTTCTCATTACATGCAGAGGTGCTCACAAACGGCACTGAAGACTATTCGTGTACCTATGTTTGGAGACAGCCAATTTTGTCGATACTATTTCCTTAAAAAATACAGTGCTAGTTTCATTTTTTTAAAAATTGTTTTGACAAATCCTTTTGAAGTCAAATTTTGATTAAAACAAATTCAAAACGATGTGGAAAAATTTTTCCCAATTCAAAAAGACCTTTTTGAAAGAACATTTATTTATACGTTATTGTACCCGAATAAAATTTTATGTTGACTCCAAAGAAATTGAGGAATTTCACATCCCACTCCAAAATTACCTCAGATAATAAGCCTGATTTTGTACAGAGCACAGAAACTGGCTTCTGCCAATCTGCCTGACTTTGCCCAAGAATGTAAAAAAAATGGATGGAAGGACCCACAGTTGTTTGCTAAGGAAAGAGAGGCAAACAGCATTATTTATTGGGCAACAGAGCATTTTGTGCCGAGATCCACGTGGGGTTCACAATAATGGTAAATGAAGGAGACCAAAACTGATACTTGACTCTCCACGTGAGAGAATCAGACTATTTAAAGTCTCTGACACCGCATCCCGCTTTGGGGTATATCACATTTCTCCCTATATGCTACGTGGCAAGATGATCTGCAAGACAGTGATCCCTCCTCTCTGCTGCGAAGCCGGTCGAGTTCAACCTCCCCACACTTCCCAGCTGTTCCTCCGAACCGGCAGCGCTCCCAGCTCCCCACTGCTCCCGAAATCCCTCCGCAAGACTGTCCTCATCCTTTTCCTACTGGTACTTGACAATGAGTTCTTAGCGTTGCATCTAAAACATAGTTATCTCAAATGGAGACCTGGGTCAAAAAGGCACTGCTCTAAATGGAATTACGTTGAATTGTACTAAAATCAGTTCAGATGAATGTTAATGTAAAAATGGTTCCCAACGTATCAGAACGAATAAAAACTTGGGTTACAGTTTTTGGATTAAACATAATCCAAAACAGGTTATTTTCTAACTTGCAACAAGGTGTACAGGAGGGGCAAACATCAGCTTGTGCTGCTCACTGACGCTGGGAGTATGTGGCTATCAAGCTTCTAAGCTGGGGGGAAGACGACACATTTCCCTGTTCTCTGCAGCCTTTCTGTTTAGGGCTGCCAGCTACAAACAAGGGTTTGGAGCCCAGCAGTTCCCATTTATCTTCACAGGCCCTCTTGTCTGGCATTGAGGACAACGGGAGGCTCCTCTCCTCCAGCACCTGTGCCTGGTGCTGGGGTGCCTGAGCAAGGAGGTCTCCATCCCTCCTCCAGCAAGGAGGACAAAAGCCCTCTATGCCCATTCCTGAAGTCACTCTTATAAAGGTTGCCCGAGAGGGTTAATATTTTTAACCAAATCCTACAGACATGCCAAGAAAGGTTAAGTGATGTGCTCAAAGCACAGGGGCAGCCAGCATCAGAAAAAATACCTATAACGCCACGGCTCCCGCTTCATGGTCTGCATGCATGATGTCTGCTTGCTGATAAACTTAATTGCATCTCAGAGCACACTCAGGAATCAATCTTGGTTTGTCCTGAGACTCTGAAGGCCATTACACTTCCCTGCGACGCCCTCCCCTCAACCCCAGAGTACATTAATACATTTCTTCTGTAATGTTCTAAAGTGGAAGCTGGCTCTGCAAATAGATTTTTTTTTGGCAAGCTGTGCAATCCCGTTAATGAAATTTTGACATACCACGCAGCAGTTTTATGACAGATGCTTAACAATTTCATTTGATATTCATGTTGAGCAACTTTTTGAATTTTAGCCTTCAGAGCAGAATATAAATTTGGGGGTGACAGTTTCCTGGGAAAGGGGAAAAAAAAAAAAAAGAAAAAAAAAAAGAAGTTCTTTAAGTAATTAACTGCCTAAGTATAAATACACTGCTTTATCTCTTCTGTTTCTTCCTGTTGTATTTTAAATAATTAAAAACTTAACATGAAGGCATATATCTTCTTACCCCAGAGAGCCATGAACACTGAGAAGAAGACAGTTGCAGGGTTATCAAACAGATGACTTGCGCGAGCAGTTGCGCAAGCAGAGCTCATCTTCCAGTAGCTGCACGTTCTGTCACACAAGGGACACATGGTGATATTGTTTCTCTGGTCACACATTTCCATACTGCAACGAAGCAACAAGATGTGGAAAAAGCACAATCAATATGGCTCCATCTTACACACTCTGGTGATCTTTTCTCCTGTGTGCAGCATCTTTCTGGTCTGTAGGACCAGCCGATACTACCCTCACAGTGCTTCTCAGCTCTTGCCCCAGCGAGCAGCTCTGTCCATAACCTAAACCATTGTAGTGGCTGAAATCCTCATGCCAGGCTGCTGTCTCCCTCCATTCCCAGCCCTACTTCTACTCCAGGGAATAAGAGTGAGTATTATCACTCTCTACAACTATCTGAACGGAGGTTGTAGTGAGGTGGGTGTTGGTGTCTTCTCCCAAGTAACTAGAGACAGGACGAAAGGAAACGGCCTCAAGTTGTGCCAGGGGAGGTTCAGATTGGATATTAGGAAAAATTTCTTTACTGAAAGAGTGGTCAGGCATTGGAACAGGCTGCCCAGGGCAGTGGTGGAGTCACCAGCCCTGGAGGTGTTCAAAAAATGTGTGGATATGGCACTTCAGGACATTGTTTAGCAGGCATGGTGGTGTTGGGTGATGGTTGGACTTGATGACGTTAGAGGTCTTTTCCAACCTTAATGATTCTATAATTCAGAGAGGCATAAGGCTCTATGCTATTTACGATAGGATCTTACAGTTAAAAAAAAAAATTAGAAATCATTCCTGTTTTGAAATACTGACTACAGCAATAGATAAGGTACAAGGGAAGTGCTGAGTATCAAGAGACTGGCGTTCAACCAATTTAACTTCTCCGCACCCCATCTGTGAAATAGCAACAGTGACACTCCCTTTGACTTTCTTCAGCTGTTGGAAGCAGTATAAAGCAATCTTAATGAACAACAAAAAAATACATCTATTTTTCGATATCCGTTATCTGTTTTGTTACTCGGTGCTCAGGCTTGTTGTACAAACTATGTAATTTTCATCTACAGCTGATGATGCATGCAGGGTAAATAATGCAAAATCATAGGGCTTTAAAAATATTATAATACAGAACTTATTAAAAATTTAAAAATAGTAGGACATCAGGATTTTGTTAATCTGACCACAATTGTTTATTTTCATCATGTATATTCTTGATTCATCTTTATGTCACACAATGCCCTCCTCAGCATTTTATGCACTAAAACCTATCATTAGCAGTATTTTGTTGGTTTGTTTCAACATAATGATCTGAGTTAGGAAAAGAAAAAACAAACCCACCTGAGCAACCAGCCAAGAATTATTTTTAGTACATCAATGCAAACCCCACAAATAATACTAACAAAAAATGCTGCAGTTCTGCTGCTCACTCCCAGCCCTTGGTAATGCTCCATCGCTTACTGGAAGCAGAAATCGGTGGGACTGCAAGCTCCCCCATCCGTGCGGAGGTCGCTTCATTTTAAGCCCAGCTTCCAAAAGACGAGAGGAGGGCAAGGAGTGGGAGCCCACCGCACTCCCGCAAGTGCCAGTTGGCAAACAGACCTTGGGAAGTCATGGCCAGCAAACATGGACTGGGGTGTCGGGCTGTGGGTGGCACAGGGCAAGCCCTAGAAACCGGGAGCCACTAGATATCAGTGACCAAACATTTCTAGAGAAAGGTAACTTTAAGTTTCTAGTGGCCTCCAGTAACAGAATCTATTTATTTATTCATTTTACCTTGGTATATTCTCATCCACAGTTGCACAGCCATATAGGAAAACGATAATCCCTACAATCGAAGCTGGAATAAGCATTTGCGTATAAACTCCCAGCCAGGCAAAATATAGTCCAATCTTCTCTCCGAAGTATTTTCTGAAATACATTAAAAAAAAATGAGACGGAGAAATGTTTCCTATTTCTTAAAATATAACATGGCTAAAATTACGAATCGCAGCTGGATTAAGCATGGAGAAAGTAAGATCTGACGACCTGTGGGAATCTTTTTCTTCTCAGAGGACTCTCTTTCTCATGATGCTTGGAGTTAATCCAAAGATAAAGGCACCATGAAAGCAAGTCACTCCAACTTTTCCCCTGTATTTCTGCTGTGTAAATTGGTATCTTTGGATCTTCTGTGAGCTAATCCTCTTAAAAAAACACCTGATTTTCTCCAGAGAGTCTCAGCTCTCACCACGAGCAACCAAAATTCATTAAAAATATGTCCCCTGCAAGCTTTCACACTAGGTGGGACACATCAGTGTGTTTCTAAACCTGCAGAAAACTCCTTTTCCCCCAGCGAACTTCCCATTCTCCGGAGTGCCCCGGGGCGGCACTGAGGACAGTCTCCCCTCAGGGACACCCGCACGAGCATTGCTGTGCACGACTTCACCGCTGCCCCATGGAAACACGACGTCAAGGGCTGAACGCTCACCTCACCAGGTCAATTGGCTGATATTTATAGAAGACTCCGTAGCTCGCCCACTCCTCACACAGGAGCTGGAAGACAGAAAAGCAAGGCGAAAGCTAAAGCGCCGCGTACACGAGCGTTTTGTCCTTTGGTCCCAGCAAACTGCAGAGCTCACACAGCGGATCTGGTCTCACCGCTTTGTGGTTTCGACCCCTAATCTGCCAATACACGCAGTCTGCATTAAGTATTAAAAACAGATTTCATTATTTGGCATGCTGTAATACAGTGATGAATTCTAGTACATTAAAAGGCTCTTCAGCAATGGGCCTGATTGATAACTACAGCAGGGACAGGGAGAGTAGTTGTGATTTATGATCCATAGGAGATATCTAGCAGAATGGATGTGAAAGATGAACATGCTCTGAGTTACAATACAGAAAAAAATAAAATAAACTGGTTTGTTTCCACTATACAAACTACAATATTCAGCATCCATCAAGAGGTGCTGTGCAGAGATGCTTAAAAGGCTGCATTTAAGAGCTTTTCAGCTTTGAACTAGAAGAACACGATTTCCACTCATCGTTTTGGTTAGGATACAGGCCAAGGAAAGCAATTATCCCCGGTAGTGATTTATGAAATTGAATCCCTCACAAAAATAGGTTCTTCTAAGACCTTCAACTTATCCTTTACTTCATAAAATACATAAATAGCACTTCTCAGATCTGATTTTTTTTCTTAATTCGGTTCAGCTAACAGAGTGAACAAGAAATCACTGTGTGTACAAAAAATCCTGAAGAAGACGAAGTGTGCTCGCTGGACACCCAGCCATCACCTTTGTGGGACAAGGGGCAGAGAAGCTTTACATCAGCTTGTGAAGTCAGGTCCCCCCCTTTTCTGCTTCTCTCCCTGCTTTGACTCAGTGATGTGAACTTGGTAGCAGGATGTTCCTGAACACATTACTGATATTTCAAGGAGACGCTTTGATAGTCACTTCTGTTTTCATTAATTCATCTGGCAACAACATCATCTTTTTCCTTTTTCTGCTACTACTGCTCTCTCAAATGTAAGAGCATGAATGGATTGTTACTAAGGTATTTTTTTTCCCCTCAAACATTGGGTAAAAAAGGAAAAAAAAAATGGCAGAAAATTTCAGAGCTTGGTTACACAAACCTCCGTCAGTGGGTGAGGGCTGCACAACCACCTCGGCTGTGGGAGAAACTGCAACGGGGAACCCAGACCTAAACCAGTTATCATCACAGGGAGGGCAACATTATTAATCTTGTTCATGGAAGAACAGACCAAACAGGATGTTATTGCTTAAATCGGTAGGCCAGTTTATCATGAGAAACTTGACATATGGCAGCCTCCTACATTTCTCCAGCGAAAGGCAGCAAAGCGAGGAAGGGCAGACGGGCAGTCCCGCTGCTGCCCCTACCCATTCCTACTTCTCGCATGTTATCACTGAGAAGTCACACAGCGAATCTAGAGCAGTTTTGCAATTCTCTTGCCAAACCACGAACGCAAACTTCCCAAGCTGAACTGCTGCACTTCTCATGCAAAGGGTTCGAGTCATTCAAAAAAATACAACTTCTTTACTTTTACAGAAATACGACATCAAAAATACAAGTGGACTGTGGATTTTCCGCTCAGCGACCCCAAATCATTAATCTTTATTAGTTTCCTTACAATAGTAAGAGCAGAAATTGAAAGCTAAAGTCAGGCCTTTATTAAACAGCAACGTTCTTGCAAATTTTGTTCTTATTCTGCTTTAGGTTTCTTTCAACCACGTTTCCAAAAGCTTAAGGCCAGCTGCCTATGTCTGGGAAACAATTAACGACTCGGGACTCCTCAACATCCCCGCATGCACTAACTAAAGCCCTTCCTTTTATTACTTTTTGACTTCATTATTACAAGCTAAGTTTGTGCTAGAAATCAGATTCCTCTTCTGTGATCTAAGCTGGTCAGGCATACCAGGAAAATACTAAGCTAAGGAGATCTGGCATCAGTGCCATGTTCCAGTTTTGTACAGCACTTCAAACCAAATTTGTGGTTAAAGTACAAATGAATTATATCTCATTTATCCTGACATTTATCAGCCTGATATTCAAATCACAGCTTCAAAGACATGATTAGAGGAGATCAGCACACTAGTCCTAAATATTTACTTCATTTCTATGCCTCATATCTTTAATTTTGTTGTTAAAAAAGGCACAAGCCTGGCCTAGCACTGGATTAGGTTAAAGAACATGCCAAAACACACCAAAAGATTATTTGAGGGAACTGGAAGTCACAAGCCAAGGTAAACATTTCCAAACCCACAGTGAACTTGTGAAATGAGTGAATTTGTGAGGTTTGAAAAGTTAGTAATAAAGATGATAATCCAGACGCTTTGAGAAAACATGGACTTTCATCCTATTTTTGGTTCAGCAATGTGTGGCTTAATAATGAAATGACAGGTATGTGGTATTTTTAACACAAATCAATAGAGGTGGAGAAATAACAGTCACTGGTTTTTGATGAGCTATTGCACCTTAAGGCCCAGCAGACTTTAAATTTTGGGTACCTGTTTTTATCTGACCAACTTGGTGGGCTGTAGATCTGCTTTTCCTACAAGCTGAGCGCATGCTGGTCCACAGCATTTCTTTGGAGACGTGACCATGAAACAAACTGGAAAGGCAAAGTCTCAAGCCTAAAAGCCTAATACAGATGGCACCCAAATTAAGTGGTTCCTCCTGAGAGAACTGGTCGTAACCTCTCTACTTCAGCTTTTGTTCGACACGTGGAAAAGAAGCCTACCTTCTGTAGAGAAGCGTGATCGAGAGTATGTAGTAATTGTGTTCTGAATTTAAGAAAGCAACATACCTGCCAAGGGTGAAAAATTTGCTTTTTCTTACGAAAAGCATTTCCTTAGAATAATTCCTATTTGCTTTCCTACAATGAACAGATGTCTTTTCAGTATACAGGCAATAAAAACACAATTTAAACCACAGACATGTGAAAAGTGATGCACTGCATCAGTATACATCCACAGGGCAGTCTCTGGTTGAAGAGCACACATTAAATCTTAGCTAAAAGTGTCTCATTTCTGGTAAATACTCAATCTTTCTCTTTCCCAATAACTTTTATGCTTATGTTTTCAACCACCTCTCTCCTCAACCTCATCCTGACACTCCAGATCAGCAGCACATTAATTCGGCAGAGGTTGCAGTCCCGAGGCCGGAGCTCGCCGTCGAGCGAAGCAGGATTTATGTCAGATGCGAGTACCAGAATATGACTGAGCATATTCTCATCAGAGCTGGCCTGAAATCACACCGGCTGAACTTTAGGAGAAGCTATATGTGAACGCTATCAACACTCTCACCAACATGGCAAGAAATGTATCATTATCAAGCTTGGTAATTTATACATATCCATACTGCATTTCACATTTGGGCAAATTTAAGCACTGGAAAGTACGTCTGTACTTCTACTGCTTGGCATTTTGTGCTTTTTTCTGGTATTTTCTGTGCAATCTTGGCAAATGTCCAGAGTCCAGCAGGTCACTCTTCAGGCTGGGACTCTTGTAAATATGTTAAAACCCCTTTAGATCAACTTACTTTTCTGTCATTAGGTTCAACGTTTTCACCTTCGTAGTCACCCTTTAAAAAAAAAAAAAAGAAGAAAATATGCGTCATTCAGGGAGTCGTGCCCAGAGCTGCTCTGCATCTTGCATACCCGTGTATCCCACTCACTCAATGCACCAAAACCAGAAAAAGCAATCCGTAAAATAATGCTGTATTTTAGGAGTTCATTTGTCATAGCACACTCTGTCTTCTGTCGCCAGGCACATTAAGAAACAGTAATAATGTCTGTCACTGAGGAAAAAGGAATGAATAAGTGATAAAGGTGGCCTAAAAATGTCAAGGGAAAGGATGTGGTATTGCCACGGTATTTGGGGTTCAGCTCAGTCCACTTGAAAGAGAAGAGACCAGCTGAAAGAGCTGATCCCTATCCAGACTCTCCAAACACTCAGGGCTGATTAGATCTGAGGTTTGAATTTGGAGCTATTTTAAAATATGATAAAGGAGTAAACTAAGACAATAAATAACTTATATACAAGACTATCAGTAGCTGTCTAAAGACGTGAGACAAGGACATGCAGAGAAGTTTATTTAACCTTTCTGGATTTCTAAGCGATATTGCTGTAGTTTAAGAGTACCTGACATTTATGATAAACATCAGGCAGATAAAGAGGCTGTTCTGGTCTCAGTTACACCGAGATAAAATACTTGTGGTCCCCTGTAAAACCAGCGCGAGTGAGGGGAGCAGAAAACTAGGAAGATACACTTCATCTTCACATCCCACGCTGGCAAACCGGCACCAGGCTCGACAGCCCTTGTACGCTCACACGGCCAGTACATCGCGAGCAGCACGGCTGCCACGTCCCCTCCACATCTGTCAAGCCTTGCTGAATGGGTCGAGCTAAGAACATGTGTTTGTCAGTTCTAGCCGTGCCTTGAACCTCTAAGTAAAAATGTTACCGGCATCCAACTGCTGTGCACCTCTGGCAGGATGGGAATCCCCGGCTCAGATAAGTGTGCCACCAAAATTCCCTACCTCTCGCTAATCCTCTTGATGAACATTATAGCTGAACACACTCTGACATCTTACCAAACCGCTTAAAAGCAGGTTTCATCAGTAAGAAGGTCTGCAGCTCCATCCAGCCCCGTAAAATACGCCACTTCAAATTCTTGCTTATGGCTTTCCCTCCAGTGGCAAGCAATCGCGTGGACGCACAGCCACGGACATCTCTGCGCTTGCAACGGGGATGCCAGGGAGATGTGGATGAGGGAACCAGCCCCTTGGTGCCCCAGGAATAAACACTTTTCCTCACACCGACACCAAGGATCTCGGCAGCAGAAGGTCAGAAAATAACAGAAGCATTTTGTTTGCTAAGCCACTGAAACAACTCTTCTACTGTTACGTTCAAACGTGACTTCTGATCATCAAAGGTAGAACAGAGGTGGGGAGCTCATTAAAAGCGAGCAGAGTGATGGAAACAACTGGCAGAAGTTACTGCAGTCGTGACACAAGCGAGCAGGAAGCCAGGATCCGTTTGGGATGATGCCATTAATATGTAACACATTAAGGATTTCTTGCTGTCAGATAGCAGACATGTAAAATATATTCCAAGATCACTTACGTCATGCAAAGGATATGCAGCGCTATAAACTCCATTGGCAAGCAGACTGGTGATCCCTTGAAAAATAAAGACATGATAGTTATTTACAATTTCGAGGTTAGACAGTCTCACTTTACCATCCTTCCTGGACATTTCCCTCAAAATAACAGTCATTTTGGTCAGATAATGATTTTCCTGCCATCTCATTCCTTTCCATGTAGTTTCATTTTTAATCATACAGGTTATTAAACATGACTCATTTTACAAAATGGAAAACTGCAGAGAGCAAAAGGAAGTCATATATATTTGAGAATCAAGAATTAGAAGCCAATGACTTGAAATTAGTCATTAAAATAAATTACATTTTCTGAAAAGCCAGTTTGATTTAAGGGCAAGCCTGCAGATTTGAAAGTGTGTAGCAGAAGGCTCGATCAAAAGAAGAATATGGCTGGAACTGATGGCATACGGGAACACGCATACGCACGCACCATCCACACAAAGTTTTGAATTCAGATTTCAGATTGATTAGAGAAATTGTAGGGAAAGCCTTTGCGAAGACCTTGGCGTGATACTTACCATATTTACCACATTTTCGTCTTTTATTTAAAAGGGCAGTTTCCTTCTTTCTTCCCTCTCCTTTCCCTGTTTACACATCCGTTTATTAGTGACATGCATGAGGTTGAAAGCAATTAATGCTTCATCTATAAAATGTATGCGGCATAAGGGACCTTGGGGAGTCCTGCCTTCCCAGGCGTGGTATCGCTCCCTAACTTGGGACCAGAGCATGGGTGGCTGGGGAGGAGTTAAGTCAGTTTGGAGGAGCACAACGGCGAGGGCTCTTCGATACTGCAGCTCGCTGCGCCGCTCCCAAAGGTCACTGGGCTGGACCGGGATCTTTGAGGGCTGTAGCACATTACTTCTCTAAAGTTCTTGCCACAGCTGGTGGCATTAACATAGCTTCTTCCTGTTATGGAGTATTACCCACATCTGAAGGTGTCGTGTTATCCGTGGAGATACATTTGGGGATTCAATGAACCAGTCTCGGGTGCTGAATCAGAGCTAAATCAAGTAACTTGTCTTTGTGCAAGGCTAAGCTGATTAATGCCAATTAAAAAAAAAAAATCTGTCCACTGGCATCGTGGAGAATTTAAGAGGACTTCCAAAAAGTTAAAGAAAAATGATGTGCTACAGTGTGCTCCATGTTGCCCATCAGTCCATCACTAACAAAAGAGTGTAGGACTGGATTTGAAGGAACAGCAACTATGAGCCAGGAAACGGCTCACTGTAGGTTCACCGAGACATTTTTGATTGTTCTGGAAATGAGAATTCTTCAAGTTAATTAACATTTTCGGGATACTAATCACCTGCTGGAGGAACTGCTCCAGGAGCGCTCAGTATCCTGCAGTATCATTCATTTTCAAAGTCCTGTTTAAGATTATACAGTACTATGAATTGTCTGCAAATGTTTCCATGCTTCTGGCAGAGACAACTAGTGAGCAGATAGATACATTATTTTTCTAGGGCTGTGTGACTGACGGAAGAGCTACATCGTACCCTTCTACATTCAGCATTTAACAATGAAGACAGATTCACATTTTCACAAATCCACACAATAAATAACAAAGACTGCAGTGTTCACTGGGCGGCCGCCTCTTTCCTGCTGGGCAGAAATGTTGCAGCATTATCTGTGTTTGCTCAAATCTTTTTGCAACCTTTTCTGGGTTGTAACCCAGCATTCCAGTGCTGGAACACAAAGGACCCGATTGAGTTATGCCAAGTATACTCACGGACGGGCTGGCCTAGTGACATTTTTATTAGGTATACTGTGTGACCTCGCCAGTCTCTGGAAGAAGAAGAATGATCTGGGAATCCTAACACTTTCCTTTCCTTTAGCCTCTGCTCCCCGGCAAGAATTCAAACTGAGCTGTATGACCTTCCCCTTTCAAGAGTACAAATACGTGATTTCCAGTGAAAATGATCCAGGCACTAGACTCGAAAAGGGTCTTGAAAGTCACAGATTAATTTGGATTTCCCATGCTACAGGGAAATAGTACTTCTGTTAATACTGGCTGAATACCAAAATTTAGTGTATATAAGGACTCAACAATTGTGCATTGTATGTTGTTACTTCAACAGAAAAGTCAAAGCATGGAAATGATTTCTGGCATAATTTTTCTTCTATTATTTGATGTATTCTAAGCAGCTGATGGGTCAACACTGAACAGAACTACCCGTAATTCAAGTTCCCATTGTTTTATTTAACTGCGTGTAGGCAAATAAGTGCTATAACAGATTCCAACAGTTATCAAACATTTTCTCCCATGTTCATGCACTTCTCTCATACAAATATGTTTCTGTTGGTTGTCTGTTAAGCTTGGGTATGAGGGAATTCAGCCTTCCACCTTATGTAATTTGTTTTACCATTAACTATTTGTTAACTTTGGTCCCACAGTCAAGCATATACCTATACATCACGATACATATAAAAGAAAAGTATATAACAGCTGAACAGGAAAGGCTGCCAACAAGTCTTTAAGGTGACCTGATTTGTAATTCATGTTTACCTGTATTATGAATTTAGTTAAAGCACAAACCCTAAGGCTGACATCATAAAACTGCTGGCCGTGGCAGTATAAACTTTGGACGCGCTGACTTGCAACAACTGTTTGGAGGGCTAAGAGATGAGCCGGCTTTCAGTGCATGCCTTAGCCCCTGGCCGTTCCACTGGGTTAATCTCAGTTCCACTTAGGGCAGTGTCTTGGCAGTCATCAGTTAAGACCATTTCACTGAAGTCATTAAAAAGGTATCCCACAATAAAGATGTGAGGTTTCCACTTAAAAGGAATAGGCCAAGCCACAGACTTTCACTGCAGTTATTGAAATTCATGGTAATACCCTAATTCACTTCAGTGAGTGTAAAACTGAACCAACGCAGAGCATGTATTATCCATGGGTTTACATCACCATCCAGTCCTGCTGCAAAGAACCTGACTAACATCTGCAGAGGCTACACGCTTACTTACCATTTAATTTAGAGTCGAATCTATAAATTCACATTTGAAAAAATTCCAAACAGCTACATTCATTTAATTAAATTTCCAAATCAAATAATTATATCCACATACACCAAATTAGAGAGCGGGGGAAAAACCTAAATTCCATAGCCAGTTACAACTTGCGTGTATTTTCAATACCTGAAAACGATATCGACCTTAAAGCTAAATAAAGTTTCTTACCCATGCTATATTTTGCTTTGGTACATGTTGTTCTTTTCAGTATTTCATAAACCTATAGAAGTAAAATAAAAGAAAGGAAAGGGTTACTTCAGATACTGCCAGCGAAAAGCACAATCTTTTTTGTGGACAGCTCAAATATTGGCAAAGCCAAGATGTCGATGAAGTCATCATTCTTTAATAAAAGTCACGGTATTCAGGAGAGCAGGGGTTCAAGATTTCCATGCCGAATTATCCATACAAGAGAGAAAGGCTTAACTAAATAGCCAGCTACCAAGATAACTGATTGGGGGAAAAAAGGTTACATCTAACCACTCACGTAACAGAAACTCTGTTTTCACTCATGTTAAACATGGACCAAAGCTCAGAAGTCCTCCTTTACTGGGGCCAGAGGGTGCACTGGGCCAGCTCTTCCCTTGCCTCCAATGGCTCAAGCTGGCTTCGACCCAAGGACTTCAGCCGAGCTTCGGGCTCATAACGTGTACGCAGCACGCAGCGTTCATCAGACACTGGACTAACACAGGCTGACCTTACAATTTCTGAACTTGCACGACCTCAGTGGCAAACCAGATGTATTTATTTTACAATTTATTGCATGTATTGTCAAATAACCTTTGCACATCACAGCACGCTGCCCAAGCGGTCAAGCTTTCGCCCTGCGCCGCTGCTGTGCAGTGATGCTCTTCAGCAAGGGCAGCATTTGGCTGGCATGAGGCTGGCAGGGGAGCGGCAGCAGAGGAAAACCATGGGCAGAAGCACCCGATGCCCATTGCCTGGCCCGTGTGGGGAGTCACGGACTGCTTCCCTGGGGATGCTCACTAATCCATGTGCTAACTCGGCTGCCGCCTGCCCAGTGCACGGAGGGAAGCGAGCAAGGGCAAGCCCCACAGCTCATCTGCCTGTTGTTGTCTTCTAGCTCCAGTGAGTTAAAGGGCTGTTGCAGAGAGATTTCCAGTTATACAATGTTGTTGTTTTTTTTTAAAATAAGTAAAAGGTCTTTGGCTTAGTTTCTATTCTTCAAAGATTCACAGGGACTGAATAGATTCCTGTTCATTTTGCAGTAGGTGGAAGGGTCAATATTTGCTCTGCGGTTTAAAAATGCATATGACAGAGCCAGGAGAGAACTTTTAGAAAGAAGAATACAAAGAGAAATGCATGCAGGGTAAAATGATGCTGGAAAACATTCAACACACCTTTTATTACTGGGTGATTTGCAGGGATTTCAAACAAAGCAACATACTACCCGCATTATTGCTATACGCCCAGTGTTTCTTAAGTGGTTTTAAAAAAACCCCCATCCCTCCTGTTCCTCCCAGCCTCTGCTGTCAGCTCCTTTGGTTTCAGTCCATTTTTCAGTTAGTCTTGCTCACCCGTTTGTCCTGTAGTGCCATTTTTTGCTGCCTTTCTCAGACAACTTGTTGTCACAAATTTTAACTCTTCAGTTGCTCTCTTAAGTTTCTTGTGCTTGCAAGTTTTCTTACTATCTATCTAGACATACAAAAGAAAATCTACAAACTAAAGCTACGCTTTTTTCCTAATCTCCAGTGAAATGTTTTATTGCACATAAACCAATTGAATGTCTGTCTTTTCCAGTTCTATGCTGCTGCATCTGCCTTCCCTGGTCAGACTCACCTAGCCCTGATAACCTGCGCCCGCACCAAATCAGCGCACTTCAGGCTACAGGGGAACTACATCATGGGGTCCACACGCTGGAATTTCAAAGCAGGAAAGGAAAGTCAGATATCTTACACCCCTTATCGGCATCGCAATAAAAGACAGCTATAATTGCGATATAAGCTCTTTTTGAAACCACTTAGCATCCGAAAGGCTAATGTTAAATATAAGATAAAAGCACGCTCACAGCCACATTCCGACACACCGATTAGTGCCAGTGGAACAGGGCAAAGAGTCCATGCTATACTTTGAAAAGTGTTGCAGCAAGTGCTGCTTGGCATGGTCCCTTCCAGCTGCCCTGGATGTCACATGAACTGTCCTTTCAATTCCCCCCTCAGCAGCTATAAAGGCGGCTGCACCTTCTCCCCCGCTCTATTCTATGCTCTGCAAGTCACAGGGAAGCACTCAAATGTAGTTCATGATATCATATTCCTGTATTAGCCTTCATTTCTGTAAGGGAACTGCAGAAACTTAATTACGAGAGGAAAAGTCCCATGGTAGCACTGGAGGAGTAGACAGACCCTCCAGCACGAAGGCAGGAATGGCTCAGCCCAGTCCCAGTGCTGCGTATGCATACAGCACGCTTGCTAGCGTAATAGGGGTGAACGGATGCGTAAACAATCAGAATAAGATGCAATTTTTTGTCCTTGTTGCATTTCCTTCACGTAAACGTTAATGTTAAACACAAATCATAAATTATGTTAAATCAAAATCAGAAACCTCAACACTTTTAACACCATTCTAGAGAATTTCCCCCTAGAATTATAAATAATATTCCCTGTAAACACCTGGCTGTTTCATTGGAATTGGCCTTGGGAGATTTCCCAGCATTTTATGAAAAGAGCAATGTGTAGTTACAAAAAGGTACAGGAGTCCCAGGGGTGCAGGCAGCTGGTGGCAGGACCAGCGGTAAAATCGAAGTCTATACCTTCCTGGTGATGTCTACTAAGAAACTATGTCCAGGATTAACTGTGAACTAGAAAGAAGATCCAAATTATTTTCCAAAAGGCACCAACCTGTTAGCATCAAAGACTATTCATTACATAAGCTAAAGCTGGAAATGCTCTGTTTATAATTTCAGTAACTGATGTCACAGGCGATCCCTGGCATTTGGTAAAGAAAGGCAAAATTGCAGCAGGCACTGCACTAAAGCTGGCAAAGGGGCTATTAACACCAGGACTAAGGCACCATCCACCATGAATTATTTATATACAGTACTTACTATAGTGCTTCTCGTTTTGCTGTCAAAGAAGGAATCTCTGTCAGACAAATCAAATCTGTTAAAAGATTAGAAGGAAGCCCATTAGGTTAAAAAAGCGCCAGTAATTTCCTGCTCTTGTTGACCCCTTCAATATTTTCATTTCTCTTGGGGATCTCTCTTAGCTAACATTAAAGAGTAGCTTGTAGAAACCTCGTTAAAAAGAAACTCCATCCCAACCCTCATATTTTAAAGAGGCCGCTTATACATTTCACTGGTTTTATATATTTATAGGTTTTTCTGCACAAAAGAGACTGCTGATGCTCATTTAAGGTGAATTCCCGACCACTGCTGGCCCTGACTTTCTCTTAATAATCTTCACATTGTATCTGTACCTTAAACCCTGTAAGGCCACTCTTGCCTCCCTTCTTCAGCAAACACACAGGTGGCCTCACTGACAAAAGCCACCACTGCCAACAGCTCAAGGCACATCCACACCTAAGCTAAGGAGCATCTTTGGGGCTTCCTCTGAGCCACCAGACTCCCGTGCTGTAGGAATATCCTATGTAAAATAAATACATAAATATATTTCCTGCAAGTCCAAGAACATGTCAAACATCACATACATTGACGGGTCCAACTAACATGTTTGTAAATCTAATACATGACTATCAGTGTTCTGCATCCCTTGATTAAAAACTAAAACCCCTGTATGTTCAGTGAAGAAATCCTGCCCTGGGACTGCTGTTTGTTCCAGCTGGCACATACATAAACACAGCCTTCAAAGCTTCTCCTCTGGGACGCTGGCCAAGGAAGAAAAGAGCGGCAGCAAAGCAATTCCAGGGCAGTCGAAACTTTGGCTGGGCCCCACCTTATGATTTTTTCCTACACCCACATTTACAGCTATTCTTACTGAGCTGAAATCGATGGCAAAGCTACCGTGGACTTCATACCATTTCCAGAGTCCACGCCTGGCTGGCAGTACACGCGTGAGCTGCCCATACCAGATGAATGAAATTATTCTGAAATTTATGAACCCACATCTCTGGCTACAAATTCTACCGAGCATTTTATTTTATATGGAAAAGAGACTGTTGTAAACCACATTATAAATTTTGCTGGGCAGTCTAACAGTTGATGTGTGTGTAGTTATATAGATAGGTGTTACACACACCACAACAGCAGCACAAAGCCTCACTCCCCAACAGTGAGCCAAAAAAAAAAAAAAAAAGACGACATTTAAATTTACTGCAAAATGCAAATATTCTTTACAGCAATCACTAACAAAGTGTTGGTGGTCATTTTTCCTTTCCCCTTTAGCTGCTGTTGGGAAGGCTGGCGTCTGCTGACATGGACATTTACAGAAAGCTTTCACTTACAGGTGCTGCTTCTCTCTGGAGAAGGGGTAGGAGAGGCGCTTCACTGTCTGAGGTTTGTGTTCTGCTACTTTCGGCTGGATGGGCTCTGTTATTTTCTGAATTACAGAGTTAATCTTTTTCAGAAGACCATGGGTCTGATTGATCTGATACATCTGAGTGGGCAAAGAGAAAAAAAACCAGTAAAATTCTAGTGGGTTTTGGTAATCCCTAACAGACAGTGAATTGCACGAAATAAATCATCAATTAAACAAATACATCAGAGTAAATTATCAAGGAGTATAACTTACCTTCTTGAAAACATTCAGAAACACACAGATGGGTGGGAAGGCCAAACCAAGGCAAGCAGAGGAAGTCTATTGCTTTTGCTCTGAGCCAAAGCATGGCCCATGTTTGATTCCAGATAATCAGGCTGGGGTGTTCAGCAGAGATACACTCAGCACTGGCTCCCGAGACACCCGCTCCTTTGGCATTTACTGATTTCTTGGTGCAATGGGACAAAGAAATGAAGGAGCTACGGAGCCCCTGTGCAAAACAACAGAAGTGGTCTCCCCTCCCAGGGGACTTTCCTGGGAATACTGTGCAGGTTTCAGGCTTTTCCCCTCTTCCATATAAAGGAACCAAAATATCTTGGATCGTCTGTTGCGGTTCTGTAGCACCGAGCGCAGGAATTGTGTTAGCAGGTCACGAAGGAGGGTTACTGGCTTCCCTCTCTGAGCCACAAAAACTATGTGCAGATCCAGGGCAGGGCTCTCACCGCAGGAAGATGCTTGGCTAGAAATAAAGCTTTAGGGGTCTGAGGGTGGTCTCAGGCACATCGCTTCACCCAGACAGTGCCTGCAGGCTTAGGTGGCCTCTTTCACCTCCCTCCCTCCCTCCCCCAAATTGCCCACCCTAACTTTTCTTTCATGGCAAAGCAGCTTTAACTGCAGGCTCACAGCAGAGTTCTTTTTTATCTAATTGCGCTTCTGATTAAAATCGGTGGTAAGTGAGGCAATAATGGGGATTAATATGAAATCCAAACCAAAAGTGTGGTTTTAGTGTTGTAATAAATGACGCCGGGCTTTAAGCCTGTCTCTTGCTCCATTATAGACTTCCCTCTGCAGTCTGGGACATGCACTTAGTATGTGTTTAAATATTAATCCATCTCTAAGCTACACTCACTGAACAGGTAGCTATCTATCACTGATGATTTAGAATTGATGAAAATATACTATCATTTCTTTAATGATATTTCAAATATTCTGAAAGATAATTTATTTTGTGGTAGAGTAGTCCCAACTCCTGCAAATATGACTAACGATGTGTATGAAGAGTCACTAAACCCAGCGAGACTTCTGCACACCAATTGTTACTCTTTTGTTCATTTTTAGCGTTGGGTGAGGAAAAAACCTCCAAAACACACACATAAATTTCATCATCAGTTGCCACCTCTTCTTTTAAAACACCCTGAGAGGATGAGACATCGTATGAAATCACTCGCACGGTGTACAGATAGCGGCAGCGGCTGGGAATGCTTGACTTCCATTCCTCCCTCCAGTTATTCTTTCTGCTGTTCCAAGCAAGCAAGTTTGTGACTCTCAGTTTCTGTATACATCAGTTAGCTATTTTAAAAATGCTGGTGGGAGGAAAAGTCTACGTTTGTAAGGTTCTTAGAGATGAGCATATGTTTAAACTATACCTTCCAGAGGAAAAAAAGAAAATCAGGACTCACCTTTTTTGTGGGCATCTTGAGCTTAAGAAATTCTGCCTCTCGACACAACACATTCCACGGTGCGTGTATTTTTACAAATCCAACCCCATGGATTTTAGTCTATAAAAAAAAGCAAGAGAAAAGGTTACTGATGAGAGCAAATGAAACATTTTTCCCCTTATGTTTCATACATACTTAAGGAACAAGTAGTCTATCGCCACCAACACGCTAAATCTCGTTTGTTTGAGACAGCCAGTTTCTAACAACAGGACAATCACTGAACACCTCTCCGTGCTGAGCTGCTATGAAATGTGACTCAAAAACGCTATTGTCTTCCAGAGCAATTACCACAAGGTTAAACAGATAAAAACTGTTTGGGAAATAAAAGCTAAAATGACTATGGACACAAATACAGACGAAGCCAGTTAAATCTGAATCGTAGGCATCCAGCCAAACGGTATGATTTCGTGAGTGCGTTGTAATTAATGGAGCTGAGAGAGTCCCTGCTGCCTCCTAAGAGCCGCTCAGTATCTCAAAGGACCAGAACTGCAGTAAGAGAGAAGCAGCCTCTGCTATAGATGCAAATACCTAGATTAAAAAAATATGCATTTTATTTAGGAAAATCACTAGGAAGAATTCAACAAAACAAAAGAAAAAAAAAAAGATAAATGGTAATGATAATCTTAGTGGCATGCTTGCATCCCACTGGTTCTCTGAGCGCTGTTCTAGACAGCTGGACATGGGGGTTTGCTGCTGGCACTCCCACATATACCCGTCTTCACTCCCACGGGAGTAATCATTTCAAAGCCATTGGACAAACGATATCAAACTAGGAGGCATTCAGCAAACAGAAGAGAAAGAAACTTTAATGAATCTTTCCAATTTTGCTGCTGTATCAGCTCAGGCACTTCTTATGATAACTAGCTTTCACGCAGCTGTATTCCGCACAGGCTTTCTAGAAATCAGTTACTCAAAGGACAGAAGTAAAACCGTCAGCCTTCCTATAGGGCACGGCTTCCACACCACCTTTGAATTTACTTCACTGATGAGAGTTTAAGTGACTTTGTAAACATACAGAATCACAGAAAGAATCACAGAATCACAGAATGTTCGGGGTTGGAAGGGACCTCTGTGGGTCATCTAGTCCAACCCCCTGCCAAAGCAGGGTCGCCTACAGCAGACTGCACAGGACCACGTCCAGGCAGGGCTTGAATATCTCCAGAGAAGGAGACTCCACAACATCATCTGTTTAAGAAATTTTTGCTCTGTTTTGCAATTAGTAAGGCCTCCAACGCAACTCCGTGGCATGCTTCTCAAGCCCAAATGATTGCAGGTTTTTCTCCCTACACTGACGTGCTGGAGATGGAAGCTGATGTAAATCCCCGTGGCTTGCTTTCATCTCTACACATTCCTGATCTGGTTTGGTATCTTGTACTGAAAGGACAGGGTTCTTGCTCTTTTACGACGTCCTGGCTTGAACCCCGAGCCCTTCTGCATCATCTGAAATTGTATTACATGTCATAGGTGGGAACCTCCCATCTTGTAAAGGATTTAAATATCTATGACCTGGCACAGGCAGGCTTCCAGTTTACTGTAACAGCTTGCAAGCTGGATGGAAAGCAATTCTCATTTTCACCTGGGCGGCAGAGAAGCAAAAGGTTTTTTGCATTATACCATGCAAAACAGATACTTTTAAAATATATACGTATACACACACACCTCTCATTATATACATGTCTGATTTGTGAATAATAGATGGCAGATTTATTTTTTTAACACTGATCATAGGTCTAGATGTTTAATCTCAACTTTTAGATCCTGTAAATAAAACCAGAACAGATGTTTACACTCTCTCACAGGAATTTCAGGCATATTGGTTGGATCAGTTAATTGTAATAGCGTTCTTTGAAATTAATACGGCTGTGACTATTTCTACTAATCACACACTGGCAGTACTTCACACATCATTTTTTATATAGACTAATGGTCTTTTAATAGAATATACTGTTTTCAGGGTACAGGTGAAAGGCATTACAAGCTGTACTGTTCATAGCTAAGAATGGAAAGAGCAAACTGTAATACAGGCCCACGCGCCCGAGCTAGAGCATGTACCAGAATTTAATTCTCTTGAAGTCTATACTGAGGTATAAAAATGTCACTGTCTGTATCAGGTATTTTTCATCAGAACTGGAATTACCAGTGGATCCAAACCACAGCATACTGTAAACCCACTGAACTGGGATTAGTGTTGAGAGCAATTTAAGCCTCCCTTCTAGATAGGGCAACAGATCAACAAGCTGTGTTGCAATAGTGGATGTGCCACAAGTCCTGGCCAAGAAAATTAAGAAACTTCACCTCGTTGGGGAATTAACAACACCGCAGCCCATTCCTGTGATGCGAACTACATTGGTGGCCGAGGATGGGGCTACCAGAACTGATACCAAATTCTGGAAGAGTTGAGCTTGTGTAACCTTGATCAGAGCCAGGTTCAGAGGAACAGCTCAGCATCTCCCAGGATTTGACGACCAGTTGTCTTCCTTATCTTTAACAGTTTGAAATGGCTCCTTACGTCCTCATCACGTTCCAGTTCCAGACCGGCCTCCACGAGGTTCCCTTCGTACTCCTCCCTGCGAAACCTCTTGTCGTCTTCGTGGTAATCCACGTGAGGTTCGCTTTCCCCCATTTCCAGCTGCACTCCCTTCCCAGGAAGCGGCTGGTCCTGCTTGGTGCTTCGGGCACTTGAATCATTGTGATGAACTCTCCTGGCGAGCGTCCTCCCTGATGAGGACTTCTTGTAATGATAAACTAGGATGTAGTCTACTTTTCTCTTGCCATCTCTGAAGTAGAGTCCATATTTGCAGTCAGCATCTGGATTTTTGGATAGGGAATTTAATAACTGGAAGCAGGGAATGGGGTTGTGGAGAGAAGGAGAGAGGAGAAGAATAATGAGTACACAGGCCAACACAGACACCAGACAGACTATATCCTTGTATCCTTCTTGCCTGGAGCACCCAACGACCTATCTTCAAACAGCATGCACACAGGAGGAGCTCCCCCCTGCTACTCACTCACAGCAATTTTGCAAGTTAACACCTGCAATTTTACTGATAGCCAGCTGAGATTTTATTGGCCAGAAATAAATAGATAAAATGACTGGGATTTAATCTAATTGCCAGCACACTAGTTCATAAGTCAGCTACTTGGTGGATTTGGTTTTCTCCTCTGGGGGTTAATCACCACTAAGATCATCTGTCCTTTTCCACCCAAGACATCTGTGTCTCAGTTCTGACAAATAGATTAATGTCATGTGCAAACATTTCTCACTTCTCTTATCTAGCGTTGCAAGTTTGTATCATCTGAGAAAGAGATCATCTTAGATACAGACTGAAGGGAGCCAGCTGGTCACGAAGCGCGGCCAAAAATGCAGATGGATCGTAGCCAGAGAACTGGGTTCACTGCTTACTGAGTTCATCGTGTGTCGTGTGTGTGTCCCCCCCGCCTTACAAAACCTGTGTCGCTTTGCAATCTGATAGTGGCAAAGGCTTTATTTTCATCTTGAATTAATGCTGTGTAAGTGTTGCAAGATGCAAGAAATGCAAGTCTTAAAGCACAATTCCATTTCCAAGCATTTATGTGAAAAACTGCATGGGGCAACTGCAGAAACACAAAAAAAGTACTAACAATTACTCATTTCTACTTTCAATAGCACTGTTCATGCATAATTCACAATCCTACTCGTGGAGGTGTACAGACTATTCAAAAAAAAGAAAAGAAAATTCACTAGTAACTTGCATTTGTTTTTACAAAAAATACTAATCACAGCAGTGGCTTTTCAGTGCCATACAGGAGAATGGTAAGCCTCCCCATAGGGAAAAAGACTTGTGCTCCAAATGATAGCAATTGGCCATCGACTGCAAATCGTATCAGTCAAAACCCATTTGGGATGTGTACACCTTCTGCTTATTTCATACATAAAACTGTGATTGTAAGTTATTTGCAAACAGTTGTTTTTAAGGCAGTCTGATTTTTAAACCCCAGAAGAAAAGAGCAGCCTCTGAGCTTACAGCATCTCACAGCCAATATAGCCAAAATATCATTGAAACCCACCCAATGTTACCCAAATTTGCACGTCTCTGTACATCACGTTGGGGAGGGCAGGTCCCAGCCACTGTAACTATAAATCAATGCCTTTGAGGGACAGTCTGTTCTGCCCTCTTTGCCTCGGGGAGATTTTTGCTCAAACAACAAATTCAAGCAGCAAACCCCATCTTCCTGGGTTTGGAGGGAAGAGGAAGCATTTGGAAGCAGTG